TGAACCCACCCCTTTCTTTCCAGCTACAAAAGATTATATTTTACTGTGTTCAGAGCCAGTGTGCTGTAGTGGTTAAGAGTGGCAGACTCTGATCTGGAGAAGTGGGTTTGATTCCCCACTCCTCCTCCACATACAGCCAGCTGGGTGACCTTGGGCCAGCCACAGCTCCCTCTTAGCCCCACTTACCTCACAAGGTTTCTGTTGTGGGGAGAGAAAGAGAATATGATTGTAATTTGCAGTCAAAGATGGAGAAGCTCTATCCAGTCAGTAATAACAAGATGTGGAGCTGACTGTGGCTCAGATCAGGAGCTATTGCAAAATTCAGACTTAAACTGAAGAAAATTGGGAAAACCACTAGGCCTAGATTGCATCCCTGATTAATATACAGTAGAGGTGAAGAATAGGTTTAAGGGATTTGATAAATTGAGTGCCTGAAGAACTATGGATGGAGGTTTGTGACATTGTACAGGAGGCAGCAACCACCACCATCCCAAAGAACAATAAATGCAAGAGGCTTTACAAATAGCAGAGGAAAGAAGGAAAGTGAAAGGCAAAGGTGAAAAGGAAGATTTACCCAACTGAATGCAGATTTCCAGAGAACAGCAAGGAGAGATAAGGAGGCCTTCCTGAATGAACTAGTAATAGAGGAAAACAACAGAATGGGAAGAAAGTAGAAGTTTTGCTCACAAAACTCCACAGCTTAGAGGGAACATTGGTGGAAGGCCCCCTGAGAAAAACATGGGCCCCCTGAGCAAAAAGTTGTTAGCTACGGGCCTGATTGGTTATCACATGGCCTTGGACCAGCATATCTGTGGGACTGCCTCTCCCCCTGTGGTCTGCCATGACAGCGTTGCTCGTCTGAGCAGGGTCTTCTGCAGGTGCCGACCTGCAAATAAGCAAAAACGACAACTGCCCATATGTGTATATTCTCCATTGTGGCCCCCTACCTTAATGAACGGCCTGCCTCAGGAAGTCAGGAAGGTTCCCACTTTCCTGGCTTTCCACAAACAATGCAAAACTGAATTATTCAAGAGGGCTTTTCTACATGGATAGCACTGTACAAAATGATCTACAAATTATTGGGGACTGCAGAATGGCTGTTGCAATAAATTAAAAAATGGATGTGTATACTAATTGCTTTGACACTAAAAGTACAGATGAAGTTGCTGCACACTGACTCAAACCATGGATCCATCTGGCTCCATTTTGCCTACTGTAATTGGCATTATGTGTACTTTTGCCCATTGGTCTATCTAGGTTACATAGTGGGATCCTAGTTTCAGCACTTTTTTGTACTTTTTTAAAAAATCAAACCTTTCTTTGGCTGTTGCAGGATGTAGTTATTTGTCTTAGGGGAGGGGCCATGGCTGAGTGGTAGGGTATCTGCATCGCATGCAGAAGGTCCCAGGTTCAATCCCTGGAATCTCCAGTTTAAAAGATCAGGTAAGAGGTGATGTGAGACCCTGGAGTCAGAGTAGATAATACTGATTTTTTTTTTTTAATAAAAACTTTTATTATCGGGATATTACCATCCATTTTAAACACTCACACATTTTATCACATAATTCAGATATCCCATTTTCTGATATACCCCCATAACCACCCCCTTACTTGGCTTCCCGCAATGCTTATATCCAGTTAACTATTTTAATCTTAACATATTTCATCATTATTTTTGTATTAATCACTTTCTTAAAACTTTTATTTTTTATTCTATACCTTATATCTTATCATCAGGTAACCTCATTCTATTAAACTATAGATTACTTAATTTCTAATACTCTTCAAAACACAATGAGTTGTTTGTAACATCCCAGTTGGTCTCCAAATATTGTTTAAAGTCCTTCCGTTCTTCAAAAAAAATTTCGTCTTCTTGATTAGCTTTCTTGTGATTTTGTCCATTTCAGCCATAAACACAACTTTCTTAATCCAGTCCCATTTTTCTGGTATTTTATCTTGTTTCCAGTACTGCGCATATGTCATTCTTGCAGTAGTAATCAAATACCAAAATAAAGTTCTTTTGGTAACATTCAGTTCTTCCATTTTCAAACCCAACAGCATTATTTCAGGCTCTTTTTTAAAAGTACATTTTAGAATACACGGCATTTCGTTATGGACCTCCGTCCAAAAGTTACTCGCTTTTTCACAAATCTACCACATATGATAAAATGAACCTTCCTGTTTCTTACATTTCCAACATTTACTAGACATATTATCATTCATATTCACAATCTTTTTCGGTGTCATATACCATCTATACATCATTTTAAAACAATTCTCTTTTAAATTATTACAAGTCGAAATTTTTATGGATTTTTTCCACAACCACTCCCATGATGACATTGTGATTTCTTTATTCATATTAACCGCCCATTTTAACATTTGCTCTTTTACTGTTTCATCCTCAGTATACCATGTTAACAGAATCTTATATCTTAGATATCATTTTGTTCCCGTTTTCCTCCCATACCCCCTCCATTTCATTACTTTTTTCTCTAAAACCATATTTTTTCTTGTCACTCTTATATAAATCATAAATCTGCCAGTAATTTAACCAGTCATATTCAAAGGCTAATTCTTCTTCTTTATTTCAAAGTTCTTCCCTTCTTTTTTCAAAATGTCTCTGTACCTAAGCCAATCTTCACCCTTTTGTTTTGAAAGTGGATTTATCACTTCTGCCGGTACAATCCAAAGTGGTCTCTCTTCGAATTTTTTTTTTAATATTTATTCCATGTGTTGTATAACGATCTTCTTATATAATGGTGTTTAAAGAGATTGTCCATTTTTTCTTTACCGTACCATAAATATGCATGCCATCCAAATCTACAGTTAAATCCTTCTAATACCAATAATTTGCTGTTGTCTAAATTTATCCATTGTTTTATCCATGTTAGGCATACTGCCTCATGATAAAGCCTCAAATTCGGTAATTGTAGTCCTCCTCTTTCTTTTGCATCACACAGAATCTTCATTTTGATCCTCGGTTTTCGTCCCGCCCACACAAATCTCGATATTTCCTTTTGCCACATGTTAAATGTCTTTACTTCTTTTACAATCAGTATTGTTTGAAACAAAAACATTAGGCGGGGTGAGTAGATAATACTGATTTGATGGACCAGTGGTCTGATTCAGTATAAGGCAGTTTCATGTGTGTGTCTTCTAGCATTCTGAGTTCATGTAAATGTTTGATAAAAATGGTTTCAATAGAGCCTCAGTTCAAGAAGGTTGGTCATAGTTCCTTTGAGTGCCTTCAAACCACTTTGAAATCCAGAGATCAGAAATGTTACGAAATTACATTGTATGTTCAGGGAACTACAACACTGTGGCACTTAGGAAGAAAGTCCCATGTTAGTCAATGGGGCTTATTCCTAGGATAGTGTCTTTAGGATTGCAACCTAAATCAGTTTAATATTAGTGTGGCAGATTCTCAGATAGTGTATATATATTGGTATAGCTTCAATAAAAGTAACAGATGTTAATTTACTCCAAACAATTATCTATACCAGTGCTTCTGTAATCCTAAACATACTTATTTGGAAATGAAGCCCAGAAAATCATTGGAGTGTGTCCTCATGTACATTAGTTTAGGATTGCATGAATCTATTAGCTCTCCTCTTCTGCAGCAGCATCCCATGCAGCATGAGGGGCTCCAGATCCTGGGGAAGTGTTTTTGGTGCAGTTTGGGTCCCAGACTAAATCCACTAATCTGATTCCAGTTTCCCCCCCCCCCCAACATTCATCTTTGCAGTATTGCATACTTAACAATATGAAAATGAAAATTGTTACCAGAGTACAGCTTGGCAGAACTGCTGTTTTATAATCCTTTTTAAGAATGCTTTTGGAAAACCACTTAACAAAAAGTTTAATTTTTTTGTGCACATTATTTACAATTTCACACATGGTTATATAGAAATCAGTGGCTTCACCCTTTGAAAACACTCTTTTCTGATGAATGTTTTGCAGTGTGAAATAGAATTTATATACTGAGAATAGTTAGATCTTTCACGTAGGCCTTAGCAAATGATCCTATAAAAGTCTTTACTCAGGGAGGTATGAACATTTCTTTATTTAAGTACTTGGGGAGAAAAATGTGATGGCTTAGTTAAAATAAAATTGGCCATTTGGTAGTATAAATTAGGATGGTGATAAAATGTGGAAATTGTTCAAAGGCATCTTGTATAAATTATCACCTTGGCTGGACTCCTCCAGGAGGTGGGCTTTTATCTCTGTTTTAACTAGAAATGAAAGCCTCCATTACCACAGGGAGAAAAAGAAGGCTATTTTTAAAATCCACATTTAGTGAATGTGTTATAACTCTTTCCTGCAACAATTCTGGAACTGCTGAATTAAAAAAGCAGTATCAGGAGAATGCATTGGTTGATTCAAACTCTTATGGTAAAAATAATTTTAGTTTTGGTTATCTCTGCAAAGTGAATTTTTTAAGTTAATTACACAGTTTGTGAAGGAGAATTTTCTTTCATCTGTCCTGATTAAGCAGCTGGTCCATTTATTTGGGTGAACTTGATTCTGGTGCTATGGAAGAGGGAGAAATATTTCTCTCCCTGTCTCCACCATTCACAATCTTATAAGCTTTAACATGTAACTTTTCTCTAAACTAAAATGCCCCAGACACTTTAGCCCTTTCTCATACAGAAAAGGCTCCCTACTTCTGATGGTTTTAATTGCCCTTTCCTTTACTGTTGTCCAGCTCTAAGACATTAATACAGTACCACATTTGTATTGACATGGGGGCTTAACTTTTTAGCTTTAAAAACTCTTGGAGGAAGCGTGTGTCCAGCAAGATAGAGTTGGTATCTAATTTCTGAAGAATTATTACCATACCCACCAATTTCAAAGAGAGACATGTCCCAATCGTTTCTAGTACCATGTATTTTTAACATTGTGAAATGTCAGCCAAATGTATAGCATAGTACCCACTGTTTTGTTTCTAAGCACAAGATGACATTCTGGCAATTTGAGCAAGTGTTCACATGGAAAAGCAATATTAGGGAGGTATTTAACGTATTTTTAGCCTTTAAAATATTTAATGTAGTGGCAGCCACGAGAAGAAAAGCCAGCACCCTGCTTTTTTGGCTTTTGTGTTTCACAAGTCCATAAAACCAGAGGGTGGTTAGTTACTGTTTGGTTTTAAATACTGTATATGAAAAAGTTAGTAACATTATTGTTATAAAGTAAGCCCATCTCTATAAGGTAGGGTTGTGTGTTCATGTGTATGCATTTGTGTGTAGAAGAATGTGAATGAGAGAGGGGAAAATGTGATCATGAAGCACTATGAAATATTAGAAGCACATTAGAGATTATTCTCACAAAATGTTGTTCTGTTGCCTAGGATGGGATTGGAAGCTTTAGTGGAGTCTTATGCATTCTGGAGACCCTCACTGAGGACCCTTACATTTGAAGATATACCTGGGATTGCTAAACAAGGTATCAGTGTCATTTAGGGACTGGTGAGCCTTAGATTGGTTTCCGTGCATGCAGTATGATCCTCCTTAAGACAATGGCAAAATTTCCATTGATTTGAATAGACAGAAATTGAACTCTGTGTTTATAATGAAAACAGACTAATTCCCATGTGCTGATTTTGCATCTTTAATCACAAGATGGCAAAACGACATTCAGCAATTTTAAGAAGTACTCATATGGAAAAGCAGTAATGATTATTAAATGTAATAACTATAATAACCATTTCCCCCATAATAACCAGCACTTCTACAGCTCCCTTCCAAAACTTATTGTGCAAAAAAAAAAAAAAAAGGAACACATTGGAGCTCAGTAACCGCCTTACTCGTACATTGCAAAATATGACATTGACATTCTGGAGTATACCATGCCAGCATAGAAAAATTCAGATTCAATAGAGTTTGAGTCTGCAAAAAATTAAATGTTTCTATTTTGTTATTATCTCTTCCACCAGTAAAATTTGTTTCACTGTCAGAAAGCCAGAAGACTGGTCTTCTGTCAGTCTGTCTTGCATTCTGGGCTTTGGAGTTCCATGTTAGCATCCCAGTATGTGAAGTAGCCCTGCCCTGGACAGCCCAGGCTAGCCTGATCTCAATCAGATCTCGAAAGCTAAGCAGGGTCAGCCCTGGCTAGTATTTAGAAGGGTGACCTCCAAGGATTACCAGGGCTGTGATGCAGAGGTGGGCAATGACAAACCACCTCTGAACCGTCTCTTGGCTTAAAAACAAGTCTAGCTCACCACGTAGTGGTGCATAACTCTATCTAGAGCTAGAACGTCTGGCTGCCAGAAAATCTTAGGATCTCCTGGCTATACTACACACAATGCCATACGATAATATTAGTATGTGAAGGGCTACACTATGGTCTGTTTCTATACAGGTGGTTTTACAAAAAATGAAACAAGTCTTCAGCCAAAGAACTTTCCAGTTGAAAAATAAACAGGGAACTGAAAGAATGTACAAAAGAAGGCAGTTGGGAGCAGTCATATATAAAGAACAAATTACAAGATGGTAAACTGAGATCAGTTTAAGATAAAAGCTCAAGGCATACAGATGTAGCTTGAGAAGCAGCATGTTATAGGGGCTAGAGATCTGCACTGAAATCTCCATTTAGTCATCATAAGGTGACTTAAGGAACTCCTCCTCTCACTTTCACTTATCTCCCTGGGGATAAAAATGGGTGAGTGTATATATATTCTTGACCTCCTTCTAGTAAAGATGGCATAGAGGCATAAATCCAGTGCTTCTTTTACTGACTTGGTGTGTTTTGATTTCCATCACATTTAAGTGCTGCTTTTCTGTTATATCACACAGTCAGACTGGCTGTGAGCAAATATGGCAAATCCCAAGTGTATCAGAAGGGAGAGGTCTCGCAAGTTGTTTTTAGATTGGTTTTAATGTTTTTATATCAGTTATTTTTCATGTTTGCTGAGACGAAAGTAAAGCAGCCCTGAAGTAGCTGTTGTAATTATTTGCATTTATTTTTGTTGTTACTGTTATTGCAATTGGTTATTGCCATGCTTTTAAGGGAGATCAGTAATGCTCATTATTATTTGAGTATTTGGAACACTTCTAATTTGGGTTTGTCCTTGCTTATCTTGTGAACCGTGGAGCTAATTGGGAAACTTTACTACACCTGAAATACTGCATAAGATCAGACTTTTATTGCAAGTACTTAAAAACAACCTTACATTTCAGATTTAGCAAAGGTATCTTTATTGAATTGCAGTTGAGTTCTGGTCTTGAAAAGTCAATAGAAGAATGGAGCTTTCTTTGCAGAGATTTACTTTGACCTATCAAATTTGGCTTTTGGAAAGTTATATGGCTTGCCAAAAACATTGTTTAGGAAACTTTAATGAAGTGAAGCTGACTAGAACAAAATAGGGGGCAGATCAATTTTAAAATTGGATATCTACCACAAAAAGTGAGAGAGCTGTCTGGTCTGCTTCAGTGCACACAATCTTGACTCCAGAGGCAGGACCCAGCCAAAGTTAAGAACTTTAGATTTCAATGAGTGTGTTAAGCACACATTTAAATATCCTCCATTGAAATCAATGTGACTTAAAAGTGCTTCGCTTCATTTGGATGTGCCTCAGGCATTTTTGTCTACAGCTGTCACTCTCAAGATCATGCCAAGTTAAGTAATTTGTGGAGTAATTTTTAAAATAAACATCCCCTGCCCCTGTAAAGAAATGCTTTTCTCACCAGTCTACAACCTAACAAGACATTCAGATTTTAATTTTCCATGCTAAGTCATTTCAGTTGCTTAGAACAACAAAAGCTTAGAATACCAAGCAAACAATGGCATTCCTTGTATTTGTTTCTTTTCTAAATAATCATATCTCCAAAATATCCAGTTTTACTTGTTCCAGAATTTCCAGAAAAATTCTGTACCAGAGTAAAAGCACTTGTTAGCAAAAGTTCCAGGTTGGTTGCATTTGGCAAACTAAGGGGAAATATGTGTGTCAAGAAATATTTTTGGTGGAAAGTTAGCTTTGGATCTGACATCCATATTATAGAAATGCTGAAGAATGTTCAAGTCCCTTAAGGTCATGCTTACTGTTTTTTTTTCTTCCATATTAATTGCTGGGGCTAATGGGTATATAAAATGAATGTCTCTTAATTTAAAGAACAGAGTCATTTTAGTGCTGAGAGCTCATGTTAATGAGCTGCCTCTCGACCACTTCAAGTAGTCATGTATATCTTTCAAAGACAAAGTCTCATTTTTCCCATCCTGGATGAGGGCACAAAAGCTACTGAAATGATTGGTGTTAGCAGGTGTGTGGCATTAAAGAGAGATCTCAAGCAAAGTCTTTCATATCAGAGCCAATGTGGTACAGTGGTTAGAATGTTGGACCAGGATCCAGGAGACCCAGGTTCAAGTCCACATCTGCTAGGGAAGCGGGATAGGTGATCTTGGGCTAGTCACACTCTCCATTTCTTTCATGTAGCTCAAGGCAGCTCACCATTCCAAATTAAAACCATACGTAAAACTATAAAATCCCATAAACCCTATCCCAAGAAACAGTCACAGTTCAAACCCCATAAAAAGCCCTAGCAAATAGCAAAAAAAGTTCAGAAAACTTCTAAGGATATTACCCTTCCCCCCCTGAGTCAGGTCAGAGCCACTGCTCAAAAAGACAGGTTTCTGGTTGGTGCCAAAAAACAGCAGCCGTAAGTGAGGGGACGACCAGAATGTGGCAACTAGAGGGCCAGTATTGGCACATGGGGGGACACGGTCCTTTAGATGTCTGAGTCTTAAGCCATGAAGGGCATTAACTGGCAGCTGATATAGCTGTTTTAAAATAGGCAAGATGTATCTCAGTTAGTTAACCCCAGATAATAATTGGGCTGCTGCATTCCAAACGAAGGCCCCGTTCACACGGAGCATTTGCCGCGCTAAAGATATGGATGATAGGTGAATTTTCCGGGTGCGATCACACCGCAACATCTGGGAAGTGTAGTGCACCCCTGGCTAACCCGTGGCTTCGTGCCGAAGATACGGAGTAAAAAACTAATACTTATGATGTACTAGTTTCCGGAAAACACGGAGCAAGGGCGGGTGTCTGATCGCGTCCCATCCTAGTCCCATCTGATCGCGTCCCGTCCTAGTCCCGTCACAAACCGGTTAGTTTGTTTTTTAAGTCTTCACAGGATGTGCACAAACGATCATTTGCATGCTCACCTTTTGGTGAGAAAAAAAATATTTCCATTTGCCATGGAAACGGCGCCTGGCGATTGCTGGTGTGATCGCACCGCGCCGCTTCTTTGCTGCGCTGCAGGATAGCCGTGTAATTGGCACCTCACGCCCTAACCACGGGACCTCGATGGGACGTGTGATCGGGCGGCCCCGCTCCCCCCCCCCCCCGCATTTTCCAGCCCGTGTGACCGGGGCCTAACTGCAGTTTTTTATCTTCAAGGATAGTCCCACACAGAGCATATTACAGTACTTCAACCACAAGGTTGCAATAACATAGATTAGCTATGAAGCTCTGGAATGGAAAGTTAACTCTCTGTGCTACAGTGACACCCCAATCCTATACATATTTATTTTACAACATTGGTATGCTGCTCTTCTGTCCAGTCACAGCCATCAGCAGTCAAAATGGCCAACAGTTAAAGCATTATAAAAAGTATCATAAAAATTCATTACCACAGTTAAAACCCCAACTAAACTACATATTAAAAGCACATAAAGCAGTAAGTTAAGCCATCACTGAGGGAATGCTGAATGAAATAAAAAAGTCCTCACTCTGAAGGAAGATAATGACAGAAGGGGACAGACAAATATCCCTGGGGAGAGAGAGTATGCTGGTCCTGAATATGTGGTAGTTGTTGTAATGTTGTTGTAATGTGAATTGTGTAGCCACCACTGCACCAACTTCCCATCTGTGTTCCCAGCAGGCAGATTGTGTCACTTTTATGTATTATGCTAATTTCATAGATACTTTCATAAAAACATGTTTAACCTCTAAAAGAGGCTGTATGTGGGACTTGTACTGATGGACTCTTCAAGGACTGTAATTTTCATATATGTGAGACTGTAGGGAAGGGGGAAGGATTCCCCTTCACCAGGAGCAGTTTTGGTAGCTGTGGTATAGTGGATAGTTGTACACTTAGAATGGAGGAATGGGATCACATTCCTCATTAGCCATGGTATTTGTTGGATTTTCTTGGGTTAATTGTTATCTCACCCAGAAAAGAGGGGGGGGGGAATCTAAACCAACTAAGCACAAACCTCCAAAGGAAGTTTACAAAACTTAGGGCCAAAAGTTAAAAACATAAGTAAGTATACAAAATAGTGTTTATTTCAAAGAATTCATAAAAACCTTGTTCTGGTTGGTGCCCAAATAAAGCCTTGTGTCAGAAGTAGTTGTATATACTGGAAATAATATGTACCTTCCAGATTAGGTCCTAAGAATGCAAATAAAATATTGATGGCACATTGTCCCTGACAAGGCAATTTTATTTGCACTCTTAGGACCTAAACTGGAAAGTACATATTATTTCCAGTATATACAACTACTTCTGACACAAGGCCAGATATATTTGTGGCCCCAAACAGAAACCTTTTGGTGTGTCATTCAATTCCATATTGGAACATTCTAATTTTGGTCCTATTTCATTTATTGTTTATTGCCTTACATGTGTTACAGGGACTCTGTTGCTTGGTGTATTTTGTGCTATTTGACCTCTGAAGAAGGCTCGTGTGAACTGAAATGTGTCAGGTCATATTATGTATTTGTCACTTTGAACATTTTATGAGGCTTTATTTGGGCCCCTACAAGGTTTTTATATATCTTTGAAAGAAACACTGTTTTGTATACTTAATTGTTATCTCAGCCTAAGAGACCTCAGACACTGTCAGAATTCTAGGGTGTAATAACATTTAGGTTACTTTGAGGGCAGGATACAGATGTGATAAATTAAACCCCGCCCCCTGATGCTATTCTGATACTGTCTTCCAGGAAATGCTGGCTCCTCCTCTTTGCTCCCGGGAACTGGCACTGGAGTACCAACCACTCATCCCCATCTCCTCCCTGGGTCTCCTTGCTCTTCTCCAGCGTTCCATCTCGGTCCCAACACTAGCCAGCTCTGCAGCCTCACTCCAGCTGACTATACAGCTTGTGCCCGTTCGGGGCTAGCTCTTAACAGATACAGCACTTCCTTGGCTGAAACCTACAACAGGCTTACCAATCAAACCACTGAGACCTTCGCTACCCCAAGAACTCCCTCTTACGTTGGCGTATCAAATAGTTCAACTGTGAACATGTCTGTGAGCGGCAGTGACAGTGATGGCTTTAGCTGTCCGCAGACGGGCTTGTCGATGCAGATTTCAGGAATGTCTCCACAGCTCCAGTATATTATGCCTTCCCCATCAGGCAACACCTTTGCCACAAATCAAGCCCACCAGAGCTCCTACAACACTTTCAGACTGCACAGTCCATGTGCTCTTTATGGATACAACTTCTCCACATCCCCTAAACTGGCTGCCAGTCCTGAGAAAATTGTTTCTACCCAAAGCAGTTTCTTAGGGTCGTCGCCAAGTGGAACCATGACTGATCGGCAGATGTTGCCCCCTGTGGAAGGAGTGCACTTACTTAGCAGTGGGGGGCAGCAGAATTTCTTTGACTCAAGGACCCTAGGAAGCCTAACACTGTCATCATCTCAAGTTTCTGCACACATGGTTTGATAAAGCCTTTAAAAAATAAAAAATATATAGTGCATTAGTTTTTACAATGTATTCCTTTTTGGATTACACAAAGATGACGTGCCTTATAAGGTGTTTCTGTAAAAAAAAATAATCACAGAAAGTTTTTGAGTCCTTTGACTGGCCTATGGGCAGATATTTGGATATGCTTGAGGGTTCTGAGTTCAGCTGCATTTCTTTGCAGAACAGCCCAATTTAGTTTCCGGGTAGCATACTCTTCATTTTATAAAACACATTTGGCCATGTGCAACAAATTAAGCAAGACTTCCTCCAGCATTCTGTTTTCCACATTTTTTAAAGAACAAAATAGCACTCAGGTCCGATTTAGATTAAACACACAAATATGTATATCTACCATTTTATAACAGCTATCCTTAAAGTGTTCACAGCTACCACAGTGAACTGATGCTGCAGGACATGTGTTATTTCTCTGTTGTAGGAGAGATAATAACGTGTGCACACTGATTAGGCTAAGTCTAGAAGTCTAACTGATTTTTAAAAATAAATAAATAAAGGGACAGGATAATTTTCCTTCTCAAGCTTTATGGAGTGTCTTGGATTTTCAGTGTGGAGCCCTTGCTGTTAGAAAGCAGAGGAACACCTGCTGCTGGCCTTGCATCATTAACAAGGGATTGCAAATGGCGGGGGTGACAGTCTAAAGGCAGCAACTGAAATGGCAGTTTGGCTGTTTCTCCTGTACAGAATGGTTTCAAGGGAGGTTCAATCCATGTGAAAGAGTATAAAGATTTTCTATAGATTTTCTATTTTCTAATATTTTAAAATATTAAATATATGTTTGTAAAAGGAAAAGACAAGGCAGGATTGCTAAATATTTCCATAAACTTTGTGTCCAAACAGGGTTTTTTGGGGTGGTGGCTTTTGTTTGCAGAAGTCAAGGAGTAGCATTTATTCCCACCCTGTCATTATACAACAATAAAAATGTGTACTTTTGTCCAAAGTGTAGATGGATGCCTGGAATCTCATTGCCAGCTTGTTTAGAGTCTTACCAAGAGTAGAAGGTGTTTGGGGGGGACACTTGCGGCTTCCTCCTTCCACATCCAGTTCTGCACGAACCTAAGATGTGATCCCAGATTTTGAAGGCATCTTGGCATCTGATGCAGGAGATGGAAGGAGTGGCAGAGTAGATGAAAAAAACATAGATGGTTTTGTACACATGCAGAAGCACCAGTGTAAAACACACACACACACATTTTTAAGTCTCAGAGGGTGGGTCTGTAGTAGAACAGATTTGAGTTCAGCAGCATCTTAGAGACGGAGGGAGCTTTGACTCTTGAAAGCTTATGCCCCGAAAGCATTGTCGGTCTCTAAGGTGCTCTTGGAATCGAATCTAACACTTCAAGGCTTAAGGTGCTCATGGGGCAGCTATCTGCAGACTATGCATTCTCCAGTGCTCCCTGTATTGCCCAGAGGCAAATGGTTCTTTTCCACTTATGTGTTCATTGCCTCCAAACCCCTTAGTGTACAAGAACCATTTGCCTCTTGGCGATGCACTCTCAGCAGCTTTCCTACTCTGTGTCTTGGTTTATAAATCCTTGGCATTTTCCCCACCCACCACAAATACTGGGAATCCCTTGTTTGGAATTAGTGAGGGTCTGTTATGAAAATAATACGTTGAATCTTTCATTAACATACTTAGTTGTGCCCAGTGTTCCTTTTAAGCTGAGTTAGTGTGAGCTAGCTCACAGTTTTTTAGCCTCTGGCTCACACATTTTTGTCTTAGATCAGGAAGGATGGCTCCAGAGCAAACTAATGTATGCAGTAGCCAAATCGCTCGCTCACAACTTTAATGCCAATAGCTCACAAAGTGGAATTTTTGCTCATAAAACTCCACAGTTTAGAGGGAGCATTGGTTGTGACCATATGTCAGAAAGGAAAACACCACTGGTATAGGTAAATCAACCATACAGCAGTGTTGCATACAAAGTTCTTGGAGCTTCAATGACAAGATATAGAAAATCAAGCAACAAAATGCCTAGTTATTGCAGTTGCTACATGGATTTCAATATGAGGTAGTTTTGCTACTATGAAAGCAAATACAACTATTTTTTATTGTCGTCTTCTGACAAGCAGAAAGTTTCACTTTCTGTCAGTTACCAATGATCAAGCCTTACTGAAAACGGTTTAAGACTTGGTTCCTTTCAGTGAAAGCAGAGATTAGGAATATCACTCTAATGTAGTGTCTCTGGACATTTCTAATTTGGCCGTGCAAAACTGCAGATGAGAGAGCAGATTCCTATCTGAGTAGACTCTTATCAACTATTTAATAAATTCCAACCACAAGGTAAATTAGCCACAAGGTATAGATAGGGGCTCTGGGGCAAGTGATGCTCTGTCTTCTTGGTGCTTGTGGGGGGGGGGTCAACAGTGGGAGGGCTTCTAATGTCCTGGCCCCACTGGTGGACCTCCTGATGGCACCTGGTATTTCTGGCCACTGTGTGACACAGAGTGTTGGACTGGATGGGCCTTTGGCCTGATCCAACATTGACGTCTCTTATGTTCTTATGTAACCAGTTCTATTGATGCTGATTTGTAGACTATCCATTTGCTGGCTGCAGTCTAGCCTTTACTTTTTTGAGATCAAAATTTAAACAGATCTCAATCCAGCATACTGGTTTAGATCCTGAAACCTCAAGAACAAGCAGAAGGCATTGTCTTAGTACTGAATCATCAGCTTTGTCCTAGGACACAGAGAGAGAACAGTGACTGTAATGACTGAACATCCCCTGAAAAGTACACATATGGGGGAACCTGGTTGATACAAGGTGTCCTTTAACACCACGATATACCTTGACTGTACCACTTCTGAAGAGCTCTTGCCTTGAAAACCCTACAGGGTTGCCATAATTTGGCTGCAACTTGACAGCAAAATACACACACACACGTTTATATATTTACTAAATACACAAAGTGAACTTTCCTGCCTCTCCCTTCTATTGCAACAAGCTGTGCTCCTGCAATTGTACCCCCAGGAGTCAATGTCTAACTTGGAACATTGTACACAGCAAACTGGGTATCTTCCATGTGAGGGGACAATCAAGAAAAATCTTCCAAAACCATGGGAAGGATCCACCCCAATGTCTGGTTTGTAGTCCTGAATACTTTTCCTGTAGTTCTGAATGCTTAATAGAATTCTTCTAGAGCAAGAAAATAAGGATTGTATTCATAATATTAGCTTGGCAGAAATGTCTGTACTATGATTGGAAGCAAAGACAGCAGACCAAAAGTTAAGCTTCCTTTGTACTGCAACATTGTGATCTGATGGGCCCCTTTAGAATTTCAGTGCTCCAGTTCATCATCATACCTGTTTCTAATCAAAGGTTTATATCTCAAACAACTGCCTCAACGGTTCAAGCAGAATTGTATTTGTGACACAGATGCTACTATATTCTCAAATGTTTCAAAAATATGTTGGAAAATATTGACACAAAATTTATGATTATATTGGATCCTGCTGTAATGAAATTGGAATCTGTTGCATAAAGCTTGAAATAGAGGTAATTATATATTTATCTGGTCCTGGACTGACAAATGATTTTAAATTGTATGTTGCCATCCTAACATATGTTAAGGGATAGTGAAGGAAGTCACACTGCTTTACAGCACACCCGAGTCCACTGGTTATAATGGTACCTGCATTGTAAACTTCTATTGGATTTCCATTATCTTGCCTTTTTGCAATATGTTTATCATATCTTAAAAAGCCATAGTATTGTTTAAAACATATTTCAGCATCTTACCTATTGTAAATATGGTGCGTGGTTTCAGAATTCAGCTTTTCATGGAATATAATGAATGCCAAATATACAGTATATCCATAATTATATATAGCTGTATTTTGTTTTTTAAAGCCACAGAAATGATATTAAAGTGTGTATCTAAAAACACTTTTATTAAAATTTGAAAATAAAATTGCTTTAAATAATTAAATACACAGCACCCTCTTCAGAGAAGTGTCATAGGTTTTGTTTACATGCTACATTTATCTTTGGGGAAGATAAATTTGCCTATGGTTGTATTTTGACAAGGTGAAAATTGCGTTTTAGGCGCCAGCCAGGGCAATTTGCAATACCTGAACTTACCGTTCTTTCAGCCCAGTCCTACCCATGTTTGCTCTGAAGCAAGTCTCACCAAGCTCCTTTGGTTTTTAGTCTCACATAAGTGTATGTTCAGGGTTATTATAGTCTTTGTCTTCAACAAAGATTGTCTTGAAGAAAGGAAAGCTCAAAAATCTAGCATTCGTGGCTTGGACTGTGACAGAGAGAATTCATAGCAGAAATGTTATAGAAAGAAATTGTGAGCAGACTTTATAGCCCTTCTGTGCTTGGACCGTGGAAGGGACAGAAACAAAAACCCCTGACAAGCCATGGGGGAGAAGAAATGTGAAGATCTATCTGGTTTCAATGTGATGCTAAAATTAGTATATAAATGCAACCAGCTGGAAGTTCCGGGGGGTTTGCAGTCCCATAAGGCAGGGGAACAGGCCGTCAAGCTAGGGTTGCTGCTGATGCCACTGTTGCTGAAAAAGGCTCAATTATTCTTAGTCCGTTTTTAACCTAAATGCCTGTTGTAAAAGAGGAGGAAATAATGAAGTATCACTTGTATGTGATTTGTAATACTCAGTGGCAGATAGAAGAAAGGTACAAGAAATAATGTTTAAACATGTTGCTGTCTGTCCTCTCTGTCATTTGAAGGTGAAGGTCATGATAAATGTAGACATATGAAGATTCTAATACTGACAGCCAACCAGCAAGGACTTTATTTTGGAACACAGGAATGAATGGCTTGCAGAGCTGACTAGCCCTCGAGAGTCCTCTGCTATTTGCTGTTGCGTGTCTAAACTCATTCCAAAAGACATGATGATGGGCTGAGAAGCTGTCAGCCAAATCTAGCAAGTAACACTTTCGTGCATATTTTAGTGAGGCTTGAGACTCCCCTCTCTAAAATGCTGCTTAAATATATCGATTCACTAATACACAAAGAAAAAAAACCTTATCACTATAGACTACGAGCTGAGCTTGTGAGATGGAATGCTTGTGTTCCATTACCATCTTGGGGGAAATGATTCTGAACTAGCCACCTCCACTCGTAAGAGCAAGAATGGAGAGGTGGTGGCTCAGTAGTAGATGCTCTGCTTTGTGTGCAGAAAGTTCCTGTCTCTGATATCTCCAGTTAATAGAATCAGGCAGAAGATAATGTGACAGATGATGTGGCAGACCTCAGCCTGAGACCCCAGGGGAAGGTCATAGAACATGGCTTGATACTGATGGTACTACATGGAAGCAAGCACGGAGAATCACATCCTTTAGCATTCATGGTTGTGTAGTAGATCTTGAAAAATGCCTCTGCCCTTCTGCTATTTAATATTCCATGCATACAAATTTAAGGACGATTCTAATTTTCATAACAGAATGCACCATTAATAATAATAGGTTTTGAGGCTGCAGAAGTTGATTGTGAAATTCTCTCGACTCCTGGTTGTGCTTCTGTGCAATCACTTATGGATAATATACAGACAAATCTATAAGGCATTCTTCTGTAGTACAATCCCTTTCTCCGTTCCTCTGCAACGAGAAACATATCCATCAGTAAACAGTGTTCAGTTGTATTTTGAATATTTTAGATATCCCTTGAACCATTTG